TTTCGTCACAGCGGGCGTCGCGGGCGTTGTTTGCGGTTGAGCAGCTCCCTGTTGCTGCTGTCCAGCATTATCTGAGATTCCAACAAAGAAAGCACAACACGCTTAGACAACACTTAGAGTGTTTGATCATGCCCAACTTGGGTTTTCCCTCTATACATAACTATATTTTAACTCAAGTACATTAAACTTGAGGGCATAGCCTAAAACATTCTTATTAAAACAAAAATAAACCTAATCGAATGTAGTACACGACAATGATACATTACTCCTATCCATGAACGTCCTTTTCTTCGCATTATAAAAGAACGACCGATAATTCTTATTCACATTGACAGCGTTACTTAAAAGTATCTGTTAAAGTAACACTATCAAAAGAATCATCGGTTATGAATTGGAGTTAACTGCGCATTGTATATTATGCGTACAGCATTCGATAATAGAGGGTTTTCTTCAAAATTATTAATGCATGATCAAAAAGTCCATAGTTTTAAGATTGCCTCAGCGTTGTTTCCTCATACCAAAAGCGTGTCCACGTTCGTACTAACACATATTTTCTTCTTTATGGAGACTCCAGCTTAACTATTGATTAAACTAAGAGTATACAACTACAATTAACTTAAAAGGAAGAAAAGTGACGTCTAATCGTATCAAGTTTACGCTCTCTCTTTTCCGTTAAAAAATGGCTGATATATTTCTATGTACGCTCTTACATTTTTTTATATTCATACTTTTAAAAGTTTAAATAATACACAGTCGTGGACACACTAAAATGCAGCTGTATCGAAAAGAAAAGGAAATTTTGTATGTTAGAGCGTATATACACTGGCAACCGTTGAAGTCCTTGGCTGCCCCTGCATCATCCTGGTGCTTAAAAAAATTTACAAAGAAGCTTTTGGGCCATGAAAAGAACAAACAAAATTCATAAACTACGTATTCAAGAAAATAGCATGAAAATAAAAAGATATTTTTTATAAAATTTCTAAAATTATCAGTTATCCTTTTCTTGGCCACTATCAAAATATAAAACGATCAAATCACCTGCAGCTACAGCTGGTTTAGGCGTTTCGCGCATTAAAGGACTGGTAAGAGTTACGCTAACAGTCACACTGCCTCCTGAAACAGTTAATGCAGCTGATTCTGGATGCTTTCCAACATTGTAAGTATCTTCTGGAGCTACGATTTTCAATTGTGCTGGAAGAATTTCAGCAACTTTGTTTAACAATGATCTGTAAAAAGATAAATATCTATAAGTCATTTTATAAAAAATATTTCATATATTTAAGTATAAAGATATAAATTTTTTTCAACTGACCGTGTTGGTTTTTCTGCACACAGAACAACAAGGCATACATGATTATCACCAGATAATAAAAGTCCTTTTGCCAAATTGCCGACACGCATTACACCTCTTAATATTCTTGAATCTTCTTTTTCTTTTTGGAATGAAAACAAATTACCATCACTACCATCTTCTTTTTGTGGTGTTGTTGTTTTCTTCTTATCAGAATCTTCTTTAATTTTTACTGGATCTGCATTTTGTTGTTGTTGTGGTTGCTGTTGTTGTGATTGTTGTTGTGAAGTTGTAGTTGGCGTTGTTGCTGTGGCATTAGTAGTTTGTGGTGTTGTTTTTTTGCCTATAATTATAAAGATATATAAAATATAAATATAAGAATAATTATAAACGCAAAATAAAAGATAATTACCAGCTTCTGCTAATGTATCAGACACAAATTTCAATGCTTTTTCAGTATGAGAAACGATTTTTTGAACTGCCAGCAGTTCTTGTTCTTTAGGATAAATAGTGGTATGATGAGCTAATACATGTTTATCATCAGAAGAATCCGGCCTTCTTTGAGGTCCAGGAAACATCATCATCGGAGGTGGTCCTGGGAAAGGTCGCGGTATTGGTGGAGCTCCAGGCCCGCGTCCATAACGTCGATACCATTCATAATATTCACATTCTTCTTCATAACGTCGTCTTTCTTCCCAATACATCATTTCTTCATCCATCATTGGACCCATAGGTCCTAATTGATTAATTTCTTCTCTACGGCGTAGATACTCATCTCGCATTTGTTGTCTACGTAATTTTTCTTCTAGCATTTTTCTTTGTTTCAAACTTGGTTTCATATCAACAACTAAATCTGGATTAACTTTTTTCTTATAAGCAAATCTATGCCGCCTTCCTTTCATATGCATATCTTTGGCATTGGGATCATTAAATCTGCATTCACAAAGCTTACAATTAAAACTTATAATTTTTCCATCTTCTGATTTATTTTCCTCTATATATTCTTGACCAACTGGTTGAATATCTTTTTCATCAACAGCTGTTTCTTCTACAGTTTCCTCTGTTGCAGTTTCTTCAGATTTAATTTCCGCAGTTTGATTTTGATTTACAGTTCCCAAATTTCCAGCTTTAAATATTATATATATAATATTATTAATAATAAATTTTCAACCTAATATTATATGTTATAATATTTACATGCATTTTAACTTAAAACTTTGTATTTATAAAAAAATTACTTACAAGCAACAAAGTTAATTTTAGGAGTAGCAGTTACTGTTGGTTTCTTAGTTCCCGCTGTTTTAGCCGCTGCTGCTGGTTTTGGATTCAAAACAGTTGGATCTGCACTTGGTATTGGTTTTCCAAGTTTAGTATGTAACTTAACAACTTTTTGATGTTTTGCTCCTCTAATATGAGCAGCATATGCATCATTCCCAGTACATGTGACATCACAAAGTTCACAACGCAGACTGTTGCCTGCCCCACGTGCTGGTGGTTGTTGTGGTACTTTCAGAGAAGCTTCCTTCTTCTTATGCTTCTGACCCTCCAGATGTTCACGATATGTTTGAGGTCCAGCACAGCTGATCTTACAGACATCGCAATAGTGTAGTTGTTGAGGCTTAGGAGGCTGCTTGGGCCGCATTGCCTTCATTCCTCCCCCTCCAGTGCCAAATCCCTTCCGTCCGTAGCCCTGCCAACCTCCAGTCTTCTGGTTAGTTGAATTGCTGTTTGCACTCTGTTGGGCTACATACATAGTCGCAGCGCTATATAGCGCTGCGTCGTAGCCGGAATACGTTGTACTCGCCGTTTCTAAGGGAAATGAAATTGAAACCTCAAACTTTGGAGGAGTCAATCCTTTATATTCATGAAACCATTCTACTAACTTGTATCCATCAAAATGAATACTTCATTCTTTTGATGAAATTACAATTATCAAGTATATTATATAATAATTAAAAAATCTTTATATGATATTAATTTTATAATTTTAAAAAATTTCAATTTTGCTAAACTTTTAAATCATATTATGATTTAAAATGTTAGCAAAATTTTATATATCATCCATATGTACAATTTGAACAGCCAGAGGATCAATTTCATGTTATTAGTGCCTACGTCACGGTTAGCAGGACATTTACATAGGATTTTCAATTTTGGCGAAAAATATTAACATATATGTACATATAATGATTTAATGAAAACTTACTATTTGTCGCTGTTGATGGTGTAGCAGCAGGTGTAGCAGGTGCTGTATATCCAGAAGAATATGTAGCACTTTGAGTAGGATTAGATTGTTGATAAGCTGTACTTGAAGCTTGGTATGTTTTAGCTTGTCCAGTAGTAGTAGCTTGTCTTGCTGTACCCGTGTAAGCACTAGTTGTACTATATGCAGGTTTTGCAGCTTGATAATGAGTTTCTGTAGTAGTATAAGTGGCTGCAGCAGCAGCAGGTTGTTGGTAATAAGTTTTAGCAGCGTCGTATGTAGCTGCAGGAGCAGCACGTCCGTAACCGTAATCGTATGTTTGAGCCACAGTACCAGGATTAGCAGCTATAAAGAAAAACACAGAATTAGATAGATTTTGTAAAATCTTTAACATAAGTACGAGAACTGTATATTTGATAGAAAGAGAAGAGAAAAAAAATAAAATTAATTAAAATAAACTTACCAGCGTATGTTGTCCCAGTAGCAGCTGCAGCAGCGGCTGCTTGATAGGTTTCGTAACCTGTAGCTGCAGCGGCAGCAGGTCGTTGAGTGTACGTGGCGGCAGTTGCCGCTGGAGTTACTGCGTATCCCGCTTGACCAGTCTGATAAGCGGCTGCGCTGGTCGCTCTGTTCAAAAGAACAATAGGTTTTCTTATATACAAGGAATAAAATGAGAAATGGAAACGGGCAAAACGAAAAAGACCTCTATCGGATCCGTGCCCGGGAGAGACGCTCGATGGACGCTCTACTCTCAGCAAGAAATGGCGGCCAAGCCGGCTGGGCTCTCGCGTGCACCGATTTTAACGAACAGTTATTACTCCCGCCAACGTAGTTACCGTCACGATTTTTCGAAAAACTTAACACTAACTACTTAATAATTATGGTATGCAATCGATTTCGTACCCATATTGAGTTCCGCCGTGAGTAAACCCAAAATAATTGTTCTGAGCCATCCTTCCTCGCAGAGAATCCCGGAAAGAAGGACAATGGAGGAAGTTGTAGGGCGTGCCACGAACTCGATAGAATGGCGGCGCTGCCGCGGCTCCTATTGGTTATTCTGTTGGAGCCGGGCGCAACAATTGCAAGAATGCCGCGCCCTCAGTGGCCGCTTCCACGAGAACCCTGCGTCGTCCTCCGACAAACTACCTCCGCGCAAATCAACGCGCTACCGTACTAGCCAGAGAAACTACCGCGAGAAAGTATTCACGAAGCGGACAGATGTATACGGTTAATTGAAACTTAACTTACTGCGTATTTCTCGTTATCTCCGTTTTCCGGGGTAGTATGTAGTTTGCGTAATTTTCGCGGCTGGTGCGTGTTGCGGCGAACGTCCGGCGTGCGCAAGAAAGGGCTAGTTTGCCGGCGACGCGTGCGTTCAACGAATTATTTTTGACGCCCCCTAGTAGTAACTACATCTATCGTTCAGAATTGAAGCGCTCTCTAGTAGGTTTTATTATAATTCTAATGGAATTCTTTTCCATTCGCACAACAAATTTAAACTCAATATTCTCCTTCAATACATCGGCATATATTTGAAGTATTATTTTTTTAATCATACAAAAACAAGATACAACATGCCATCGCAATTAGCAACGAAAAAGCATGCTAAATATTTCCAGAGGTTATTACAAATAATGCCCAATTGTTCAGCAGAATTTGACTGTTCTAGACTTGCAGTAGCGTTTTTTGCTATATCAGGATTAGATATATTAAATTGTTTGAATGATCTTAGCGAAGAAACAAAATTAGAAGCAATTAACTGGATCTATAGGCTTCAAGTAACTGGAGCTGGACCACGATCAGGTTTTCAGCCTTCTACAACAATACCAAAGGATGCTCCAAAATATCAATGTGGTCATTTAGCAATGACATATATTGGATTAGTTACCCTTTTAATTCTTGGTGATGATTTAAGTCGTGTTGATAAAAAATCCATTATTGAAGGAATGCGAGCTTGTCAAAATCCAGATGGATCATTTACAGCTATTATAACAGGATGTGAAAGTGATATGAGATTTCTTTATTGTGCTTGTTGTATATCTATAATTTTAAATGATTGGTCAGGCATTGATAAAACAAAAGCAATTGACTATATTTTAAAAAGCATTGTAAGTTTTTATCTTTTTGTTTTTATATTTTTACATATAAAGAGTATTAACAAAAATTGGCTTTGTCTACTTAATTTTATCATAGCACAATATCTCAACAATGATTATAGTCATATGATGGAGCAATGGGCCAAGGACCTGGTCTTGAATCACATGGAGGATCTACATATTGTGCTGTAGCTAGTCTATTCCTTATGAATGAACTTCATAATGTATTGACAAATGATCAATTAAATAGACTAAAAAGATGGTGTCTTATGAGACAAGATAGTGGCTTTCACGGACGACCTGGAAAGCCTTCTGATACTTGCTATAGTTTTTGGGTGGGTGCAACTCTACAAATGCTTGATATTAATAAATTATCAGATCCTGATAAGAATAGAGCATTCCTTCTTGAAACTCAAGACAGTATTGTTGGAGGATTTGGAAAGTTTGCTGATTGTTTGCCAGATCCTCTTCATACATACTTAGGTATGTAAAAAATAGAATATCTAAAATTTTACAATAAAAATAATATGCAATATGAATATTTGATTTTTAGGTTTATGTGGTTTAAGTCTTTTAGGAGAAACTGATTTATGTATAATGAATGCTGCTCTTAATATCTCTGATCGAGCATATAAACATTTATTAAAAATTCAAGAGGTATGGTAATACATTTAACAATCTATAAAATATTTGCAGCAACCAAATCTCATATCAAACGCACAGAGTTAAAGCAGGAAGGAAAAATAACATTTTTGCATTTTATCATGAATTCTATTTGTAAAGTTCTCACAGATTCTCTGTGCCTAGAACCATTATTCTAAAAATGTCAATTAATAAAAATATTATGATTTTGAAATATGTTATTAACTATTCTGTTTCAATAAAGACACTTGTTAAAATATATATATATATATATATATATATATATACTAAAC